TATATACACATATATATGATATACAGATTTACCACCGTAGCCGTGGCCTTGCCATGACTCCTAAGGCTTGACCTTACCGTCATGCCTCATGCCATTTAGACCCTTAATGGGATGTTAACCGAATTTGAGATTTAAAGTGAAAAATCAATGCTCAATTTATTTGATCTTGCTTCACCTTTAGAGCCCTGGTTAAAAAAACATATACAAAGAATTGAAATCTAGAGACCAATCAAATAACCATTTATAAACTCTTGAGCAAAAAGAAGTGGGCTTTTAATATACAAAATCATATCTCAAATCAGGCATTTAACAATATGAAACTCTAACAAAATATATACTTACAGATTTGCAAAATATTTTCACAATGAGAAAGTGACAAGAAGAAGATGAAGATGATGAAGGTGAAGTTAAGTTTCATCAATGCAAACCCGAGTGACCCTAGTGAAATGGACCAGTGTTGCATGTCTCATTGGTGGGGAAACTGCCATTGCTAACCTTGTAGAAGCCATTGATGAAATTACAGAAGCTCAAATAGATGGATATGATGAAACATCTAGAGAGAGAATAATAAGATAATGGAAGAGGTGCAAAACAGAAAAGACGAAAAGGATAATAAAGTTGGTGTAACTCGCAAAACAGAAAAGACGAAAAGGATAATAAAGTTGGTGTAACTCACTAGAGTTTGGATTATTCTTTTCATTTTTTTTGCTCTTCTAGACGAAGATGAAGCTATGGAAGTGAAGAAATGAAGGAAGAAGACGAACAAATTGACAAAATGAAGTTGTAGAAAATTGAAGTCACATGAAAACACGTGAATTCATTAAGGGTAAAGTGCATATTTTTAAAAGAATACCAAAAACCGAGTAAAAGGTGATCAACATAGGCCTATTTACTACAATTTTAGAGTTTATAGGCCTATTTGCACTTCTTAACGTTCATAACCTTTTAATTTTACCACATAAGTCCATGGACCACGATAGCATTATTCCCTGTAATATGACATCTATCACAGTTTGACTTCTAAATGTCGTAAGTCACTTTTCACCCTATAGGAAAAAGTGTTACTTTACAAATTTATATATATTTTTTAGTTGTAATTGGAAACAATCATCACATTTAGCTATAATAACTTGGGGTTGTTTGGTTGGTTTTTGATTAACTGTTGTATGGATTAATCTGTCTGTATAGATTGAGAAGGTTTTTTGTTTGGGAGGGTTTTTTCAATGATGGAAGGAGAGTGTTTTTAATTGGGAGGGGTGGGTTTGGAAAAAAACTTGTTTTTTTGAATAAAGCTCCTCCTAGAAACTTACTGAATAAGCCACTACCAAACAATCATGTATAAATAAGTTGCGAGTCCCGTTAAAGCTCATTAAGCTGCTAACAAGCATGCCCTTACTTGTGTTAATAGAACATTTTGAAACCAAAAAGCTAAGGACACCCATCCATTTAAAACCTGAAATATTGGAATGCTTGAATTTCCAAAATAAGAATTTGTACTCTTTTTAGAGGGATCTATCGCTTTAGTTGGTTCTCATTATCCTTGCTAGCTTGTTTTGAACCGCGGAAGGTTGATTCGATTAGTTGCATGGAATTTCTTCTTTACCTTCTTTTAAGTACCTTGTACTATTTTAAGAAAATATGGCACACATGGCTGCTCAAAAAGTTAACAATCGACATCCACAATTAGTTGTATTAACACCTCTAGCTTACTGGTTTAAGGCTTTCTGCAAGACTGTAACACCCTAGTTTCTTTATTTGATAAATCTCAATATTTCAGCCTTAAATGCATAAATTTATGAATAATTCAAGTACTCCAGCAACTGTTACATTTAGTGAAACATCTTAATTATAAGACTAAACAAGCTAGTGATGAGTTGTTAAGGCTAGAAGTATGTTGGCAAGTCTAGTAAGCATGACTAAGCAATCCAGTGATGAGTAGTTAAGGCTAGAAGTATGTTGGCAAGTCTAGTAAGCATGACTAAGCAATCTAGTGATGAGTTGTTAAGGCTAGAAGTGTGTTGGCAAGTCTATGAAGCATGAATAAGCAATCTAGTGATGAGTTGTTTAGGCTAGAAAAATATGAGTTGGCAAGACTATTGATTACAAGACAAGTCTAGGAAGCATGACAAGGAGTACTAAAAGCATGAGTTGTATAGATTCTCTTATCCTTAGAGATGGATTGTCAAGATTCTTATCTTTATTGATGAGGCGTCAAACTCTCATAAGCGTACAATCTTGAGAGCAAAAAGAACTAGTTAATGCAATGAATTTATCTATAAATAGGGATTTAAGGGTCACTATTTGTGCATACCAAAAATAAGAAAACTCTCTATATATACATAATTAAGCTTGATGAAAGGAATCAAAGGAAAAAGTAGGCAAATCAAGGTGAGTACGTATGTGATTTATGAGATAGATGCATGCTATATATAAAAGTATTTTATGCATTACAAGTTATGTTGGCATGCTTGTTTTACTTGAAAATATTGATACACATACATATTCAAGATATGCATGATGACATGTTCTAATACAAGTATACACACAGGACATGAAAATCATTTACATGTTATACATGTTATCATATGTGTTACACAAGGCATGAAATTTTTTACATGTTATGTATAACCATAATATCCAACGTACGAGATATTACAAGAAGGGACGTCTTGCAAACAGACCTTATAGCGCAGTCTTTTATGGACCCGGGGATTAGCAAACCTCAAGACAAGTATAGTATACATGCATGTGACAAGTGAGATCTCAAAAGAATGGGTTGTGCATGATAAAGAATAGTATTTTATGAAATGTTTATGCATGATAATAAAGAATATTCTTATACATGATCAAGGGCTTTAATGAAATATCATTCACAAAATATCATGAAAATTTCTCATTCATGAAACCATAAATACTCACTAAGCTTATAGCTTATATATCTCATGTATGTATCTCAGGAAAGAAGTAAGGAGGATTTGCATAAAGTAGTATGGTTTTAGTCAATAAGCAAGTTTTGTTGTAATACAAGCTATGGTTACGTTTCCGCCAAGTAATTTCTTCTTTGATGAAATTTTAAGATATGTTATAAATAAAGCTGAATTTCAAGTTCAGATTCAAGATTTAATAGTTTTATCATGTAAAGTAACGGCACCCAATATATATAAGGACGTGGGGCATTACAAAGACCCCCTTCGATTTTTGTGTGTATCGTTGTGTCTGATCATGCAATACACAACTTAATACATTTAACTAGATATAGAGACCTCTTTGCCTTACTCAAGCACCTCGCATGACCACTAGGAGGAGAAACTACAAATAGAAAGAGGATTCAGAAACTCGTTAGATTCCCCATTTTTTGACGATTCAAAGAGACAAAAGATTGGTCAACACCGATTTACTTCCTTCTAATATGATATTTTCGTTGGCAATACATTTCTCCTTTTCTTGTTGCCTGAGATCATTTCATAAGCTCATATTGAATGGAAGTTGTACATCTTCTACATATAGTATGATAGAAATCCAAGATTTTATTGAATGAAACAATCTAGAAAGAACGAAAGTCAATGTACTTTGGAAAGGTAGGCTTCTCTCTCACGATGCTCAATTTAATTCTAGAGTATTATTATTAAAGTAAGCATAAACACTTATTTCTTATAGTCCATACTAGAATTCTTGACTACATAAATACTAGAATTGCCTTGCTGTAGATTAACCATATCGTAAAGCCGTAAATCCACATGGGTCATCCTTCTACCCCTTGTCTTAAACGTGGAAGTATAAGAACTAATTAGTGCCTCATTGTATTCAAGCCTCAGGGACCAACCTCTTCTATGACATCAACTTCCTTCTCGTCTTTCTCCTTGTTGACTAAGAGAATATGTAAAGCATGGTGGAACAAGGATGCCCTGGTGAGAACTTTTTGTCACATTTGGAGCTCAACCTCCTCTCGTCTTGTCCGACAACTCCGCGTGTTATTTTTATCCCTGGTTGGAACTCGAATATCACTCTTTCAGATGTTTCCTCAGTACCCTCGGTGGCGGGTTTGGCGGCTCCATCAACGTTTTGCAAATTCTTTCTTGCTGAAATTAGCCTCCTGATGACCACTTACTTGCCCGGCTAACGGTTTTTATTTTGTGCCAGAGCCGAGGGTCTTCATGGAAACAGCCGCTCTACTCTCTAGCGTAGAGGTCAGGTCTGCATACATCTCCCCTCACCTCCGGGTGGGATATACTGGGCCATGTTTCATGTCGCATGGATCTCGATCTTCAAACCCTCCATGAAAATACCCATGTGAATAACCCTCTATTTTGCCAATAACTTGGATATTGTACTTTATTCCCGCTTTGTGCTTTCTCAAGAGAGGCAAAATTTTGCTCAGTAGTTTCAAGACCTATTCCAAAAAGTTATGCCATGATGTACCCATGATACCAGGTGAGAACTAATTAGTACCTCCCTGCCTTCAAGGCTCCCAAATCTACATCTTTCGACTACATCAATTCCCTCGTCTTCTAAGTCATGGATATCTTTTTTGAAAGTTTCTATTCCATGGATCCAAGTCAATTTAATGAAAACATCTGAAATTTCAGAGTGATAATAGCAGGTAATATTTTTCTGAAGTTTTGACACATTTTTTTTCTTCTGAAAAAGGGATCATATAACAAACTTCTTTGTTGACTCACCTCAATAAAATGGTATGGCTAAAAGGAAGATAGGCATTACTTGAATTCACAAAAGCATTATTGTTTTCAAATAACATACATAAAACTTTTTGGGGTGACATTATCTTAAATGTTGTTTTCTTAACTAATCCTTTGTCCTTTAAAATTTTTAATCTTGCACTCTTCTGCAGAAGTTTCATGCACATAACCTGGATCAAGAAACTCCATAAGATGATTGTTTTACTTGTGTATGTGGATGGCCTCATCGTCACAGGGGATGATCGTGAAGAAATAGACTATTTGAAAGCAATTCTGGCCTGAGCATTTGAGATCAAAGACTTGGACCATTTAAGTATTTTTTATAAGTTGAAGTTGCGAGATCAAAGAAAGGAATTGCGGTAAGCCAATAGAAATATATTCTAGATCTGCTTTCTAATACAAACATGACAAGTTGTAAGCCAACTAACAAGCGTGTAGATCCCAGTGAAAAACTTGGTGGCATTAAAGGTGATTCGGTTGATGTTAGGAGATATCAAGATTGGTTGGGAAGTTAATCACTTGTTTCATACAAGGCCAGATATTGCTTTTGCCATCAGTTTAAGAACCCAATTTATGCATTATCCTAAGAAGGTTCATTTAAATGCAATGTTCCCTTCTGCCTTTGCACTTGAGGGCCAATCTCCATCCAGCCCGAGGAAACCGTTGCAACATGAACCAGAATAGAAGAGCTTGCCCCACCCATGAGTAAATATTTTATAGTAGCCTCATTAGACGAGCATGAATGTGCTAACTATGGATATGCTGGCTGAAGAGGAAGACCAACTTACCGATGCAGAATGGGCAGTGCCCGGGTAGAAGATCTACACGTGGATACTGTACATCTGTATGGCGAAATCTAGTGGCTTAATCAAGTAAAAAAGCAAAATGTAGTGGATTGCAGCAGTGCTGAAACAGAGTTCCATGCTATGGTCAATGGAATCTGCAAGGCCATTTGGCTCAAATGAGTAAGCTACAACTACCATTGGATGGTTCTATGAATGTAAGCTGTGGTAACAAGGTTGCCATAAGCATTCTAATAATGCTATGCAGCATCACACCATTAAACATGTAGAAATTGACGTCGCTTCATCAAAGAAAAGCTAGAGAATGAAGTGATATGCATGCCTATGTTCCAACCATGCAGCAGGTAGCTGATAAGTGATATCCTTATAAAAGGATTGTACAAGCCAAACTTAATAGAATCATCTGGAAGTTGGCCCGCCAACTTGAGGGGGCGTTGTTTTAATTATGATCATAACTGTAAACTAGGTCATTATAAATTAGTTTCCTAATTTTTAGAGATTAGATTCATTTAGAGAACAGTTCCTGTTAATGAGGAAACAAGTTGTGTATTCAAACACAGCCCTATACACTTGAAAAGAATGTAGAAATATTTCAATATTCTCATAAAAACTACAGCAACCTTTGAAATTTTAAGAGCAACAGAGAGCATAGGAATTATATGGCCATATGGGGAATTTTAAATGGCTGTGGAGTTCTGCCATGATTTTTGTATTCTATATATTGTATGTGTACTGTCAACTGATCAAGATAAAAACTGCATGCATGCTTATATATTGGGCCAACTGCTATTTATATTTCTCCTTTCTGTGACATTGCAGAAGGCTTACTCATAACCTATCTCAAGCATGAAAGATAAGAGCACCAAGCATGATGAATATGGAGTTCTGTTGTACTATAAGTACACCAAAATCCCTGATCTTGACGACCTGTTCACCTTCTACAATTCCAACTGCAGCTCACTCTCCCTTCTTGGGCGTGTGCGCCTTGCCCCTCATGGTGTCAATGTCACTGTTGGCGGAAAGTTATCAGCTTTGGAGGAACACATTGCTGCAGTGATGTCAAAGAATCATTTATTTGAGGGAACAGATTTCAAGCTAGCGACGTGCAGTGAGCCCATTAATGACAAGGTCGCAGAGGAATGTGGGTTTACTAATCTTTCCATCCGGATTGTTAAAGAATTGGTTACTTTTAGCTCTCATCCTCTTTTGAAACCGCCTGAAATATTAAATGCTGGGAAGCATTTATCTGCAGTTGAATTCCATTCAGTTCTTCAGAGTGCTGGGAAATTTCCCGAGACTGCTGCTTCAGAAAAAGTTATTCTACTGGATGCAAGAAATTTATATGAGACGAGGATAGGAAAGTTCCATGTTCCAAATGTAGAGACTTTGGATCCGGAAATACGGCAGTACAGTGACCTTCCTTCCTGGGTAGATACTCATTCTGAACAGTTACGTGGAAATCACGTTCTCATGTACTGTACCGGTGGAATCAGGTGTGAGATGGCATCAGCATATATCAGGTCCAAAGGCGTTGGTTTTGAAAACGTTTTTCAGTTATATGGTGGGATTCAGCGTTATATGGAACAGTTTCCAGATGGTGGTTTTTTCAAAGGAAAGAATTTTGTTTTCGACCATAGGGTTTCAGTTGGCAGCTCCGATGCAAATGTCTTGGGTACCTGCCTTGCTTGTAGCTCCCCATTTGATGATTACTCTTCACGGAGCAGATGCGCTTACTGTAGAATGCTTGTGTTGGTCTGTGATGCATGCCAAAGTAAAAATTCGTTCCATGTTTGTGAGTTATGTCAGAAATACGGTAAGCTTATTGAAACAGTTACAGTAACTGGAAATGGAAATTTTCAGGTGAACTCACTCCCTGCTGAACCTGCAGCTCTTTCAACTCAGGCTTCAAAAAAACTGAGAATCTTGTGCTTACATGGGTTTCGTCAGAATGCTTCTAGTTTTAAAGGAAGAACTGCATCTTTAGCTAAAAAACTCAAAAATATGGCTGAGCTTGTTTTTATCGATGCACCACATCAACTGCAGTTTATTTACCAAGCCCGCTGTGATGATGAAGAAACTGGTGATATGTCTTCTAGACAACCAAAATCTCCACCAGATAAAGTATGCAATAGAAAGTTTGCATGGTTTATTGATCCCGATACAGATGGAAATACAAGCGCTGAATGGGAAGTAGCTCGATCCCCTTTTGATTCTCTACAGTACCAGCAGCAGACTGGTGGTTTTGACAAATCACTTGCATATCTGAAAGCAGTAGTGTCTAAAGATGGACCATTTGACGGGATCTTGGGATTTTCTCAAGGAGCAGCAATGGCTGCATCCGTTGCTGCACAACAAATGAGTTTGAAGGGTGAGATAGACTTCAGATTTGTAATCTTATGCTCTGGATTTTCTGTTAGTTTAGCGGGTAACGAGCAGAATTCAATCAAGTGCCCTTCGCTTCATATATTTGGCAGTGATCACGGTAAGGATACACAGATAGCATTTGATGCTAGTAGAAGCCTTGCATCGATGTTTGAGGAAGGGTGCTCTGTTGTAGTTGAGCACGATTATGGTCATATCATCCCTACAAGATCACCATATATTGATACGATCAAAGATTTCCTTGAGCGATTTCTCTAGCTTTAAGGTAACTGAAGCTTTGGTAGTTAAACAGAAAGCGTGTGAATTTTTATATTCAAAGTTTTGGTTATTAAGATGGATATTATGATACAAGTAAGAACCATGCTATAAGTTTCTAAAAAGCATTAGGTTGTTGTAATGTACCCTGTAGCATTTCGGATTCTAGGATTATATCAAGTGCATTTTGATTGAAATAAAAACCGAAATGCTTGTGGAATTAAGATAGAAGATGGGTTGATTTGAATTTTGTCGAATTATGATATATAAACAGAGTCTCACAGTGAAGATGATCTGAAGGAAGTTGCCCGTGTTTCGACCCCTGCTGGCACCGATCCACTTTTCTTGCAATGGAGTGATCAGCCTCTTCACCGGGTTGGAAATAGTAAAACATCATCGTATCGTGTCATCTTACCGGCTAAAACAATCAAATTCGGATGACGGTATGATACAACTGTTGTGTTCAATATTTTCTCACTTTTCAGGGATCTGTGGTTCTTGTAAGAACGTTTACTGTAGAGTTCTGTTGAGATTTTTGTTTTGTTGAGGTGGTGTTAATGTTACAATAAAAAAATATATAAAATAACTGTTCTTACAAGAACCTCTACCTTTGCTGTGGATGCTCTTATGTTGCTTCCACCATTTCCTACAAAGGCGAGGGTGTTTCCACCAATAACGGACATGGGACTGTCTATCGCAATGTTGGTTGCTCTGTAAAAATAATTGTCTAAGAGAGAAATAATTTTTTTATTATTGCCACTCATAATAATTCTTGAAATTAAATTTTTAAGAAGAGAAATAGTATTTTAATAAATATATTTAAGATTTTTAAAATAATTAATGTCGTAATCTCCAAAATAAAAAGGTTGTTAGAAAGTGAGTTTGTTTTTGAAGATTTTGAATTTCGATTCCCAATTTTAAAGAAATTTTAGAGAATATGTTGGAGATGCTTTTATAATCCTTATTGAGTACCATCTTGTCATGCACTCGACAGGCTGGTCAGTAGGTTTTTGATATCCTGTGCGAAAATACAAAGGTCATGTTTGGTAAATTTAAGATAACTTATTTTTGAGCTTATCTCAAAAGTCCTGTTTGGATGAGCAAAAAGTATCGTGGAAGTAACAACACCACAGTCTCTAATGATGCCCTGGACCGGTGCCTGGGTTGCCCACCCCTAGGGTCGGCCTTGCCACTTGACTCCATCTTAGCCTCTATTAATTAGAGAATCACATCTTCCCTTTTCCTATTATATACTATTCGAGCTTAATCGTAAAGGTTTACTGCTATTCAGCAATATAAAATTATACAGTTTTGATCAAGCTTAATTTTATATTACTTCATTCTTCGACCAATTTATTCTTTCAAACCGAAACAATGAACCACTACAGAAACATAAACCTCGATAAGGAAAACCTATATACTCGATCGCTTACAAAACAACGATGCATACAAAAAAGTCTATCTTACAAACAGTTTTCAAGTTATGAGATGAGCAACTATGAGCTTCGACCGTGTTTCAAAAACTTCGAACGAAACTTCCCTTTTTTTTTAATTTTTCAAAATATTTGTTCTGTTTTCGTAATCATCAAACAACAAATGTGAATGCTGAACATACGACCAATCCCTTGATGGGTCACCATTGGTTTGTCAAAATTAAAAAAAAAATATCTAATAACGATTTTATATATTTAATAATTAATTAAGAAAAAAGAAATATGAGTGAATAAAGAAAGGACACATCTTACATTATATATCGACCATTTTATGTTTTGGTTTGTTGTTGATTTTATAGGTGTCTCATGGCCCATTTCTTTTAAACTTCTTCTTCCCAATTATTTTTCACATCAATTAACACATAAATATGAAGATCAACACCAACCCCTTTTTGTTTAGTCATAGTCTAATCACACAATGTCATATACGTATACGTATACGTATACGTACACGTACACATACGCATACATGCAAACATCATGTATCGTATATTTGCATGCCGTATATGTAAAGCGAGATACTTCGATGTAAATATACACGAGAGGATAAAACTATGTCAATTAAATATTTAAGAGGTAGGTCAAATCGTATACGTTTACCAGGAGACAAGCAAATGAGGTTGCTCATGTTTTAACTAACGAATCCCGTTGAGTTGAGGGTCCGTTTGATTTTTTATTTATCAAATTATTTGTAAGTATTGATTCGATTAGATGAATTAAAATGCATTATTTTGTAGTTTTGTCTTTCTGATCAACAAAAATTATCATTTTAATTTTATGTCTAAAAATGAAAATTAATTGTTTGATAAATCCTGAAATGAGAAAATATAAACTGTAGGAATTATTTAAAATAACATCATGATATAAACTCTACGAGTTCATTATATAATGCTTTAATAACTTAAAACATGTTTGAAACAATTAAACGTATTGATTACAATTTTAAATTTATGCATTTGTTGGTAGAGTTTTTTTTTTTTAAAGAAAACATTAGACTCGTGGTAATTTTGGAAAAGAATTCTAGCTTAATGCATTAAGACATGGGGGCTTGATTTCAAGGGCGGACCCGATATGGTTCTATACAGTGGCATAGGTCACCATTTTGTTTCTCCGTTGTAGTATAAAAAAATTAGGGCGGTGAAAGATAGGGGTGTTTGTGGTCTGGTTTAGACGGTTCAATACCCCAAACCACGAATAAAACTGCAATAGTCGTTTACGAAATTTCCAAACCAGGTTGTTTGATAGCAAACGACCAAATCGATCAAACTGAACCACAAAATGATGGTTTGGTTTGAATTAAAGGATAAAAGATTTGAACACATTGATTACATATAGAGATGGCTAAAAACCGGTCCCAATCGGTCCTAATCTTTCTCATAACCGGCCATAACCGGTCCCGGTCGAAAATGATAGGACCGGTCAAGGTACCTCATAACCGGTTATGAGCCGCCGGTCCCAACCGGTCCTTGCATTAAAAAATAAGATTTTTTTTTGATTTTTTTAATGATATATATTTTTAATACATTATAAAATTTACAATTGAGTCACTCAAATACACTTTAAAAATGCGTTTTAATATAATTAAAATTACGTTTTCTTATAAAAATACATTATAAAATTATTTAAAAATACATTTATTTATAAAATTATTTGAATTTTCGGGCCACGCCAGGCCGGTCCATAGTCGGTCCCGGTCGGTCCCGGTCCCACGAAACTACCAAAAACCTTAACCGGTCCCGATTTTCGGTCCCATAACCGGTCCTTACCGGTCCCGGGCCGAGCTGGTCCTTTGTCGGTCCTGGTCCTCCGGCAGTCCCGGGCGGGGCCGATTTGGCCATCTGTAATTACACATACAAAAAGCAATGAGTTAACAAACCAACCACATGGAATGAAGTCGAAATTGCTACCAAAGCCATCGTTGACCAAAGCCGGTCAAACCTTTGAATAAAGGATTGTTAGGATTATCAAGGAAAATGTATAAAAATTGATTTTGTATATAATTTAATACTATTATTATATTATCCATATTAATAATAAAAAAATACATCAAAATTAAGTTTTCTAATTTTAAATAATAATAAAATAAGCAACAAAATAGTAAAATAAGATTGTAAATGTGTTACAAACAACTCAAATTATGATTATTACATCTTTAATTTTGTTTTTTTTAAAATTAAATTCGTTTATTGCTAACTTTGTACCCTTCAATTTTATTTTATTTTTATTGCTTCTGATTTTATTTTATGGTTTTATATAGTTTTTATAGAGTAAAAGAGTTTTACAAAATTGAAACAGACCAATTACCAGATCCACTTATCATCCCCGACATAACCATAAAAATATCAGGTTAGTTATGGGTTTTATGGAGTATTCTGATGTATTAGTATGACTAGATTTTTATCTTGTATTTGAATTTGTCTATTAATTTTATGAAGTTAAAACATGAAACTTTAATTAGTTGTACGCGAAATAAGTTGTAAACTTGAATTTTAAGAATATAACGTAAATGTGTTATGAGATAGTAAATATATAGCATTAATATACTCGTTGTCGGAATTTTAAAACTTGATTAACCGAATGTATATATGTGTGTGTGTGTGTGTGAAGGATCTTGTAAGAAGAATATTAAGGTGAAAATCGTAATAAGAAATCTGGAATATTGATTTTCTTTAATCTCAAACCTACCCATGAATCTCGTTTGATACGGAGATTGCTCTGATACATCTCATCTCGGTACATCTCACCCTAATGTACATACAATGGTGGAAATCAAATCTATCACTTCCCACCTTAATTCTAGTTTTACCGGAATCCAACTCTCTCTCTCTCTCTCTCTCTCTCTCTATATATATATATATACATACACACACACACACACACATACTAGAAGGGTACTCGCGCAATGTCGCGAGATACATCTCCATTTTGATGTTTCGTTTTATTTTTCATTTATGTTGATATAATACGGTTTATGTGGTTTTGAGAAAAAAATATTTTTTTACTTTTGAATAAAATGAATTTGAAGGCGTCATAAAAATTTGAAAAAATATATCAATATTAATATCAAATTAACTATTTAAAAGTTCTCGTTTTTTTTGTACATTCTTTTATTATACTTTAATTTAAGTCAAAATGAAGTAATTTATTTTTGGCTTAACAATAAAAATTTTATTAAAAAAAATCTCCTTGTGGCCACGGAGGTTCAAATGCGGTGACTCCGGGCTATCTGCAAAACAAGTGGTCGCCCTGGGATTAGTCGGCTCGCATAGCGGGTTGGATATCCAAGTTAATAAAAAAAAAAAAACTGCTAGTTAGAGACTTGTGAAAGACTTGGCTCTTTAGGACATATCTCGTGTCGTTTTGGAGATAGGGACTTTATTGGTTTTAGTAACATATGTCTTTATTATAAACTTTATGAACGGTTTGATTTTTAATCTATTGATGTTAATCTTTAAATTGTCATTTTAGCTGATTTAAGTGTGGTCCCATAGAAAGGAACTTATCATTCAATTGATGTATTATAAAATAATTAATTAGTCGTTTTTTTCCATTGTGAGGGTGTAAACGAGCCGAGTCAATTCAAGTAGCAGGTTATTCGAGCTCGGCTCGAAAAATTAATATCAGACTCGAGCTCGATTAACTTTTTCAAAGTCGGACTTGAGCTCGAGCTCGAGCTCAACTATTTTTTTCAATGTTCGAGTTCAAGCTCGATGCTCTTTTATTAGCTCGAAATTTGAGATCAATTAACCCTTTTATTTTTTCATACTCGATATTTTTATATTTTGATTATATAATTTATAAACATATAAATATGTTTGACTCGAAAAGTTTATGCTCGAATGGCACGACTCGACTCGTATAGTTTAATTTAGCTTTTGGACGAGTCGAGTCAAACATTGGTGTTATGGTGCTCGATTAGTACATGAAGTTTCTAAGTTTTCTATTTTAACCATGATTTTAATTTATAAAAAGGCCCCTTTTAAACTTTTTAAGAATTACCAAACAAACTCTAAACTTTAAGAAGTTATGCTTTTACAATTTAATCTATCTACTTCTTGAAAATTACCCAACGGTCCTTGAACTTTACTGAACTATGTTTTAGCTCATGAGAATATAGAACTTTACATTTAACCCTCAAATTTGACTTAAAGTCACTATGGAACCCTAGAAAATCATGTAAATACATATTTTTAATTTAGATTGGCTAAAAAAGTTGTAAAACATTACACTTTTAACCTTGTTTTTAGAAATTGATTACATTTTGAACACCCAAATGCTATAATACATATATTAACTTTTAGTTGTACATTATTGATGTATTTAGACCCAAGTGGTCTAATAAAGTATAATAAATGATGAAACAACCCTAAAACAATTTTACGATCATACGTAACTTTTGTAATATATTCTGGGAACGCGGACACAGGTGGTGGAATAGAATAACATGGTTGAAGCGTAATGATCATACGTAACTTGTAATATATTCTGGTTAACGTTTAGCAATACTACAATGTAATAGCCTCGGTTGGTTATTATGAACTTGTAGGAGATTTGTTAGACGTGACCCTGAATTGTCTACATTAACAAATTCCAAGTGAATTTCATGTGTAAATTTTATAGGTCGCATACAGATATATTAACTCATGTAACTGCTCGTTATTTGGGACTAAATTATAATAGATAGCCCTAAGTTAGGGAATAATGATGCGTGATCTTATAAGTGAGAATTCTAAAGCTGATAAGCCATTAATAGAAGTTGTCGACTTAATAAAACATATGCAAAAACATTTTAAAAAACGTTACTTTAGCATTTAATAAGTAACAGATATGTAAGATGAATCGTTTAGTATAATAACAAACGTCGTATGGCTGTGAAACGCGTACTCATTGATGTATTCTTGTTGTTAAAACAAGCGATGAAATCATTAGATTTCATGCATAGATATTTTTGTTGTATTATTTGGTGTTTAAATGTATATTTCTATCAGATACATGTATTATGGGTGCTTACATGCAAAACCTGATGAATTTAATTAAGGCCAACATAAGATTTTGAGATTGAATTGGTGAAACAATTGAATCGAGAACCAAGAAAGAGTTTGTGAAATCCGCATGGTTCGTGCAAGACATGTTCATGATTTGGCATAATCGTGTGAATAAGAACCTGTGACATGGCAGTTTGAGTTTCTGGTGTAATTTGGCATGGTTGTCGCATTCAGCTGAGTTTCATAAGACTGTTAAATGTGATGCGTGTGTATAAGTGAAAGAGTATGTCCAATGTATGTACAACGTGTTAAGGGAGTCGTGCATGTTATGTGTTTTACTTATTTTAAACTCTTCCGGCATACTAAATGATGTTCAGTGTTTATGTAAATGTTTTCCTGTACAAATGAATCAGATAAATTTTAAATTTTTGATAATTGAACGCGAATTTGAAAGAAACCAATAGTGTCTAACGACAATTAAACTTGAAATAGGATATCATATCGAACACAAGATGCTAGCAGACTTGCCATTAAACCAATTATTGACAACGGTGGATCCATGTGCAAGACAGTGGGATCCTGTACCACCAGATTATCATTTCGTCATAGTGGGAAAAAAATTAAGACCATTAACAGTGGCACCACTATAACAAAATTGGATTTATAAGATGCCACCAATTTTCAAGCGTCATAATAAACCGTTTTATAGGACGTAATCATGACCAAAAATAAAACATCATATCTAAAAGCGTTGTAATAAGTTGATAAGACGCTTTTGGACGTCTTAACAAGTTTTTTAGAACATTTTTAATACAAAGTGTCGCATTAACAATTTTACATGACACTTTTGAGAAAATGTCTTATAAACCTATTTTTCACAAGACACTTGTTTCTATAAGACAGTTTTTCAACAAAATGTCCTATAAAATTACTAATTGAACGTTTTGTATTAAAAATGTCATAAACAACTTGTTAACATGTCCAAAAACGTTCTATAAACTTATTATAACGTCTTTAGATAGAACGTTTTATTTTTTTATCCTACAAAGTGATATGTCAGGACACTTAATTTTTAAAGACCTTCCAGCCTAGTGGTAAAGGCTTGGACATGACATAGTCATGAACCCAAGTTCGAGCCCTGGGAGGGGAGTGTTGGCGACATTTAAGTGGGGCCATGTTTAGTCTCCAAAATTGTCGGGGATTAGTCGGGCGTTGGCCCGGACACCCTTACAAAAAAAAAGTGATATGTCAGGACACTTAATTTTTATTGGCATCCTATAGACTCGATTTTGTTGTAATGCACCATTATATGTCGTTATGTGTTACCACAAGACATTGTTGTCAGAAACTACGATAACATATCAAAATTTAAATTTAAGCTTTAATGGGTAATAACAATGAAACACAAAAACCTTGAGGGACTGTTTGGTTGATTTTCCATCAAGTAATGTATGTATAAAATTGTCTGTATGAATTAATATGTCTATATAAATTAGAAAAGTTCTTGTTTAAAGGATTTTTTTCAAGATAGAAGGAACGCATTTTTTAATTAACAATAATAGATTTAGAAAAAACTTGATTTTTTTACATAAAACTCTCCTAAAAACTTACTGAATAAAACTCTTTTATATCATTAAACCAATATCAAATAGTCATATATAACTGAGTAACTAAATAAGTGGAGTTAATAGTCATGTCTCATATCTTCAAACAAACTAGTTATGTACATACGCAATGCGGTGGGAGCCGTGAATTTTAACGATTTTGAAGTTTCACTGGTTTTATTAGAGAATATTTAACGATAATATAAGTTACATTTGGTCTTTACATATTAATACAATTTGAATAAATAAGAGTTATGGTTCCAATTACAGTCTATCGATAAAAAAAATTGTATGACAGTTTAAATTCCAACATATTTAAACGACTCCACAAATGTGTTTGATTTACTCCAAGAGCAAAGAATCAATAGACCGAGAGTTCTAGAGCAATTGAATGAGAAAATTTTTAATAACTCGTGGTGAATATCAATTTGAATCTCACCCTCGGGTTTGGGGAGAAGACATAGAGGTATGAGAGGATGAAGACATGAATGAAAAATGTCAAAAATATCTTGAGAACATGAAAAAAAAAAAAAGTAATAATGTGCATTAATAACTTGTATTATATGTTATTTTAATTGTATATTAAAAGATCTTAAGATTGAATACATACAATAGTAATACTTAATACATTATAAATTGTTTTTAAGACATTTAAAACTTTGTCTATAAATATATAATACTTTATACATTAAAAATTATTTTTAAAATTTTGATAAATCTGATTTATAAGATAATATAGATATAAATAAACATAAGTGACGGCCCATATGGGAATTAAGATGGGTTTATTTGGTGAGAGTGAAAAAGTTGGTGGTGAATTCCGTGCATCATCTTTCTCCCTCTCTAAAAACTCTTGGTTGCATCTGTCCTAATAGGCGGCGGGCATTGTGGGTCCAGCCCCGTGCGTGCGTTTGACCCCGTTATTTCTTGCCCCCACTCCCACTCAGTCCTTTTCCATTTCGTTCTTTCAGCAAAAAAAAAATATACTATCGTTTTATGCTGATTTAACAATCATTAACACAAAATATTCAAACAGATTTGCTGTATTTCAGGCTCAGAGTTGAAAAATGTTATCAACATAAAGCAAGATTTAAAATCTTGAATCTCTCTCTCTCTCTTCTTTTACAACCAGTTTGTCTTTATGAGAGAGAAACACAGAAAAAGAGAACCTTTGACTAATTACTCGACGACTTCCCCCCATTCACCCTGCTCTCTTCAATCTCTCTGATTACAGCAAAACCAACAAATTTTTTGCTTTGCTCTACATATTCAAGATTTTCTTCAAGTGGGTTTTCTTTCTTTTGTGTTTGATTAGATTTGTAGACGATTAATACAGAGGGTTCTGTTTTCGTCTTTAAAGCTAGGGTTTGCTATTTGGGTATTTTGAATTTCTTGATCTGAATGAGCGATTGATGACGAATCTAGGTGTTTAGCTTGACCGACCCGAACCGGTGCCTAGTTTTAGGAAATGGATCGGCCAGTCTCCCTGATTTCAGCTTCTGCTCTCGTCTGGTTCATTTTGGTCTTCAACATCTTGTCAAACGTCTACGGGAATGCTGAAGGTATCTGCTTTTTGTGTTCTTGAATCGCCTTTTGTATTTCAATGCCCATTTTCTTGATTTGAGTTTAATGGAGGTGTTGACTTTGGTTGGTGAAATCGTTGTTAACCAAATGTAGTAATTTATTTCAATTGGGTTTTGTTAGAATGATTTGCCCCAATCTTGGTAGCTCTAGTTCTAATTATAGGCAGTGGGCCTCAAGATGGAATTGTTCTTGAATTTGACATCAAATTGCAAACGATGATTGATGTTAATCTTGTTTATGCAATTAAAGTTCATCATTTTGATGTTTTTTAGGATGAGTTGATGATTAAGTTTGATGTGTGTAAGACAGGCGACGCATTGAATGCACTAAAGACTCAATTAGGTGATCCAAATAATGTTCTTCAAAGTTGGGATGCGACTCTCGTAAATCCGTGTACTTGGTTTCATGTTACCTGCAACAACGATAACAGCGTCACAAGAGTGTAAGCTCTTATCATCTCGTTTTGATAAAGATGAAAGCTAATATTATCGGATTGGATGGTAGTTATTAAAGGATATTGTGTTTTGTTGTTTGTTTTACCCAGTGATCTTGGAAACGCGAATTTGTCGGGTCAACTCGTTCCACAGCTTGGTCAACTCACTAATTTACAATATTTGTAAGTCGTCTCTAGCATGCGTGATTATTACAACCTCTGTTACTTTTTCTTGGATGCAAATATTGTGTGCGTCTATATAATTTGAAAGTGTCGGGTTCTAACTTCATTTCTTACTATATAATAATCGTCTTTTTCGTGCTATTTCCATGTTTAGGAGCTTCGTTTTCATCGACGTGTGCACATATCCTTATATATTTTCCCAAAACTAGCTGCTTTTGGGATTTGTTAACGTTATATGCTGATGATGCACGTGTCATATTTCTAAATTTGTTCAACTCATGCACTTGGTATCTTTCGCCATGGCCCCAGTGAGACCTTGGTGACTTGATATATCTCGTGTTTCAACTAGCGTTGTTTGTAGATGGTATCACTCCATCTCAATTGTGGATGACGCACTAAATGCAAATTGACATCCATGTTCTTTTCAAGATTCTCGCCCTGGAGGTCTTCTCGGAAACAAGAGGGTAGAGGTCAGGTCTGCGTACATCTCACCTCTCCCTGTTAAGCGAGATATATTGTGTTTGTTTGGTTTAGTTTTGTTCTTGTCAAGATTATCCAAAATAGCGTACCCCTTGAAAGATACTAAACTATTTCAACTAGAGAAAGGAATTTCCAACATATATAGAGGCTTCATGGTCCGTTGTACGAGATTCCAACACACCCCCTCAAACGGAGGCTAGACAATACAATGCCATCAAGAACGAAGGCGAAAGAGTGTGTCGAGTCCCTAGGTGGTGCTAGACCCCGGCTCTAATACCATGTTGTGAAACACCATTTAAATAATCTCTAAAAGAACCCTTATCAAGAGAGTGGAGTTTCCATCACACACACACACACATATATATATATATAGGTTTGATGGTCAGTGTCTATATGGGTGTCCAACAGGTATTATATGATCAAGATTCAGTTTTCTTGAAAACCCTTTGTGCAAGGAAAATGCTCGTCTTGTCAAGCATGAGAAACGTAAATGTATGTTGAATGTTACGCCAACCATTCAAATGAGTTCTAGATAACATGGGCAACCTTCTTCATGCTTATTTCTTAGTTTCTTCTATGAATATGCACTTATAATTCGGATCTTTTTTTGGAAATATATATAATTACATACGGAAAAAATCACACACGCTCCTCACATCTAGTGAGGCTTGAACCCTTAACCTCCCGAGAGGTTGGAATTCTGGTATTCCTTGTCATCTTTGTATTGTTACTAACACAATCGTGTTTCTGAACCGATGTGTTGTTTGGCAGGGAACTTTACAGTAATAACATTACTGGAAGAATTCCTAATGAGCTTGGGAACTTAACGAACTTGGTGAGCTTGGATCTTTACCTCAACCGGTTAGATGGCACCATTCCAGATACATTGGGCAAGCTGCAGAGGCTTCGTTTCCTGTATGAACTCGCATTCGTCTTTTAATTCGTTGATCAACATTTTAGCCGAAATTTAGCATATCCGTTTTTCTTTCTTTTACGCACTTTTCACTAGACTCTTCAGGGTAGTGGTCAGATCTGCATACATCTTACCCACCAGACCCCACCTCTAGATGGGATATACCGGGCTTGTTCGGTTTGGTTTTTTTGCTATTTTTGTGATTGACCATTTCGGTTGTTTGGGAAATCGTGGTGTAATTTCTTTGTTGTTTTTGCAAGGACAGTCGTCTCAACAACAACACTTTGACGGGTACTATTCCAGTTTCGTTAACGACTATAACTTCGTTACAAGTTCTGTAAGTATCAACGTTGACACACTTATTTTTCCTTATTTCCATGCATCTAATATTATTTCAGACGGTAAATTATATTCTTGATGTGTATTATAGTGATCTATCAAACAACCTTCTGAGAGGAGATGTCCCGGTTAATGGTTCCTTTTCTCTTTTCACACCTATCAGGTATGTTGTGAGCCATTTCCATCTTCCGTTTATGAAAAATGTGACACCTTATGTTAACGGTGAACTTATTTTCGTTCAGTTTTGCCAATAACCCCGAATTACGAGCTCCTGCAGTTACTCCTCAAACTCCATCTCCACCGAGCTCCCAGTCTCCTTCTGGTAATTGTAAATTTATTGTTAGCGGGATTTTAGTTTCAGATAAATTTACGTTTCGATCGTGGATTTGGAAACTTAGAAAATTAAAATATCGTACATTACATTAACAATAGCTTATTAACTTACTTGAGTTTCTCCGTTCGATAAAAGCCTGTAAAAGACATTTAAACGAAGTTACATGTCTACAAGCTACCGCTTTATTTTTTAAGGAAATATAACATTCTAATTTACGTAATGTTGACATGTTCTTTCAGTCGCGAACAGTGCCACTGGGGCCATTGCCGGAGGAGTTGCTGCTGGTGCCGCTCTTCTGTTTGCGGGTCCTGCGATCGCACTTGCTTGGTGGCGACGAAGAAAACCACAGGATCATTTCTTTGATGTACCCGGTTAGTAAGATGCCATTTGTTCACACCATTTACCTCTATGCTCTCCGTCCCCCATCACAATTCTTTTGACGTCAAGTATCAAATTTGCACCATGTACGAGTGTACTATGAACACATATTTTTATAAGATGCTTTTGCAAATAATATCATAAAAATACTAAGGGTTGGGTTCCGGTGAGGATGAGAGTTATGGTGAGAAGTGTAAGAAGAGATATTCACCCTTGGATCAATCCTAATTGCAGATCAACATTAATGAGAAGCACCGGATCAATTCCCTATCTAAAGCGCGATTCATGGGTTGGTTTGAGATTAAAAGTGATCAAGGGTCCAAATCCCTTTTTACACTTCTCACCTTAACTCCTATTCTCACACAATCCTCCGTCAAAGACTAATAGGACGTTTTTAAAGTATCATAAACAACTTGGGAATGCACCCAAAAGCGTCCTGTCAATTTATTGTAACACCTTTACATAGGGCGCACAATTGTTCAGTCCTATAAACTTAAGCCTTAAAGCAGTCTATTAGGACATATTTTGCATCTTGTGAAAGCCGATTTTGTAGTAGTGGCTCTTTTGTCTAATGGGGTTTCACATATTCTCACACACGACAAACGAAAATGTTGAAAAGTTGGATCACAAATACGATCATTCGTCTTCTTACTCATAATTTTTTGTATCTGCAGCTGAAGAGGATCCCGAAGTTCATTTAGGGCAATTAAAGAGGTTTTCTCTTCGCGAACTACAAGTTGCAACCGACAATTTCAGTAATAGAAACATTCTTGGGCGTGGTGGATTCGGAAAGGTTTACAAAGGACGACTTGCCGATGGCTCTCTGGTAGCCGTAAAACGGCTAAAAGAGGAGCGTACTCAAGGTGGGGAGATGCAGTTTCAAACGGAGGTCGAAATGATCAGTATGGCCGTTCATCGAAATCTACTTCGGTTGCGGGGATTTTGCATGACACCCACTGAGCGATTGCTAGTTTATCCATATATGGCCAATGGCAGCGTTGCATCATGCTTAAGAGGTACCTTCTCCTACCAATATAGCTTTTGTGTTACGGCAAAAAGCATGGTTTAGATCCTATTTCGTGTAACGAATAATACTTTTTCCTCAATCGATGTAACATTTTTTTTTCTATTTTGCAGCCATTTTGACCGGTAACCTGCTGACCTTGTAACATTTGATGACGTAAACGGTATCAACACAATCAAATGTTACATATTCAGCAGGCTGCCGTTCAAAATGGGTAAAAATTAAGAAACTTAGAAACTTTTTAACATTAAACAGGAAATTTTGAAACTTTTTTACATTGATTGAGAAAATTTATTAGTTACACTACGGGAGGGTTCATGTGAGAACCGCAAATAAGTTGAGAACCAAGGATCTAATTTTATAGTGTGTATTCATTGATAAATATACACTATAATTCTATAAAATTCATCGAAATATATATTGTCGATGAGTATATTCATCAATGAATATATTTACTTGTATACGTTTGTATTCTGTCAACGAATATATTCAACAATTAATATACACTAAAAAACTAGTTCTCTGGTTCTCATTTGAATCGGACTCTAGGAACTAGTCAAACTTTATTGCATGTTGATGCGTTTTGCTCTGTGTTATGCAAAATGTAAAGAAAACGGGAAGTTAGAGGTGTGATATCTAACGAGCTGATTATCGTGATCACTGTAGAGAGACCCGATGCACAAGATCCGCTAGATTGGCCAATACGGAAGCGGATTGCATTGGGATCCGCAAGAGGTCTTGCGTATTTGCATGATCATTGTGACCCGAAGATTATTCATCGGGATGTAAAGGCTGCAAATATATTGTTGGATGAGGAGTTTGAAGCAGTTGTTGGAGATTTCGGCTTGGCTAAGCTTATGGATTATAAGGATACCCATGTTACGACAGCTGTGCGTGGTACGATCGGACACATAGCCCCTGAATACCTATCGACCGGGAAATCTTCGGAAAAAACAGATGTTTTTGGGTACGGTGTGATGCTTCTCGAGCTTATAACTGGACAGCGGGCTTTTGATCTTGCTCGGCTTGCCAACGATGATGATGTCATGTTGCTTGATTGGGTTAGTTTATTAGCCTAACAACTGGTTTTTCAGGTATCAGCTAGTTTGCCGCTAAGTTAGTTGATTTGGTTTACAGGTGAAAGGACTTTTGAAGGAAAAGAAGTTGGAGACATTGGTAGACGGTGACCTGAGAGGTAACTACATCGACGAGGAGGTGGAACAACTGATACAAGTAGCGTTGTTGTGCACACAAGGGACTCCGTTGGAACGGCCCAAGATGTCGGAAGTGGTGAGAATGCTGGAAGGCGATGGGCTAGCGGAGAGGTGGGAGGAGTGGCAGAAAGAGGAGATGTTCCGTCAAGACTTCAACTCGACACATAATCCAAATACTGATTGGATTATTGCTGATTCGACTTACAACCTTCGTCCCGATGAATTATCTGGCCCGAGATAATCCATTGTATCGAAACCGATATTTATCATCAACATTGTGCATATGGAAATTCTTCTTTGTTGTTATTGTCACCTACGACTCTTTCCTGTGTGTCTAGAGTTTTGGTCTTTCTTGTGTCTATAGATTGGCAGGTGGGAGTAAGAATTTTCCAACCCCAAATGCTATTTTAAGTTTTTGTCATGTAGTAAGCAAACCAGATGAACAAATAAATACATTTTCTTGCTGTTTTTGGTCTCTTTTGCTTTTGGGTTTTTGTTTTCAATCGAAACATTCGAGATTTCGTTAGAAACATTTATGACAACTCGAGCATCCCATGGATTACAAAGATCATTGTCTACACAATCGGTTCATTACATGTACAAGAACAGATATGGGAAAATAGCAAATGGCATATCTTCACTTCCTTCCACTGGTTCCGATTCGAGGTTTGCCTTTAACCTCTGACTCCTGCAGTTTTAAAGTGTTTCGAGTTATCGCACTTGATGAAAAACCTTATAAAAACTAGTGGTTAAAAATTTTCTGACCTGAGGTAAGTGCAGGTAAATATAGGTCTTAGCTGTTGCTGGATTATGGTTTTCTGCACCTTTTCCCCAATCATAGCATACCTTAAGATATCAAGTCATGTAAGTAGTTGAGTTGATAAAAAAATGTCGTCATATTCAACTGGGTAAGGATTAGGATCTAGCATGAAGCAAAATGACATCTACTCTTTGAGCATTTGAAAAAAAATGCGAACGGCTGATACTAAATAAATGGACCATCAAGCTTCCTAACAGGAGGACACTCGACCCCAACATAATGAAGGCTCAACTACGATGATTTGAAGGAGCAAGTGCAATGTAGTCAATTATGCATTAACTTTGGGGGTGCATGCGTGCAGAGCTGGACTGCACGGCACAGGCAAGAGTTAGCTACGTGGGTGAAAGAATTGTGGAAGGTATTAGGGTTCTAATTTGACATTGAGTTCCATAAGTTATCAATCTTGACAAAAAAATTTAGACTTTTATCCCACTCAATCTCGTCCTGTCCTAGTCTAATGTTGCATCTCACATGGGACAAGCTTTTGTTTCGTCCTATCCCTTATAACGCATGATACAAGTTTAAACAGCAGAATGTAGACATTCACATTTCAGAAATTATTATATTATGTGTGTTAGCAAAGCCATACCGCATAAGCAAATACGGAGCCATCATAGTTGAAGCTACTGCAAGGTATAGGTTGATTGCACCTTGACATGGCCTGTAGAACAATCAGATGAAAAAACAACAAATCTCAAATAGGCAACATGGCTGAAAAATATTCAAAATTTATGGAAATCATTTTTTCAATCACATTTTTGGGTGTATTATTTTACCATGTATAACTTCTAAAAATATACAAGTGTTTAATAAACCGACCACCCACAAGAAAAGCATACACAATTCAATAGAGTTGGCGGTTGGCTATTAGCTAAATGACCAACATACACTCAGTCACTCACATTGAACTCTACATTGAAATTAAGGTAAATCAAGTGAACTAAGAATAAATTGTGATAACTGATATCTACTGGGTACACAGATAATTTGACTTGAAATTTTTTTCTAAAAACAAGAAACTGGAAATTTTGTGTGACATACCACAAAATTCGGTAAACTTCACACACACTCCTCATAGTCCATAATTTTTAACCCAAGAATCCTAGCAGTAGGGTATGAATACATCTCAAGATGAGAACATGCATGAAATTAGAGAAGTCTAGAGTACTACTTCTAAACTCAAAACTGATATAAAGCTTGGATTCCCAATACTTGAGAAGATTGATCACCCACACTAAGTTTAATGTATGTTACAAAGAGAAGAAAAAAAAGATTGTGTTATGAATACACCAACAAAATAAGAATAAAATCAAATTTGAATTTGAACCTGGAAAGTATCATGCTCAACTTCAAAGTTGAACTTTTTTTCTAGTAGCGGATGGAGAGAGAGATTTAAAGTTCAAAAAGGAAAACTTAATATTGCAGAAGGAAAAAAAAAAGAATACTTGATGACAGTTACCAATTAAGCGATATAAGAATTTCCAAATTGATAATCAACATATAACGGCAATGGAATTGTATAGAGCTACCTTCAATCTTTGTTTGCTGTCTTTGTCCCAGAAGTTAAAAGCACCATCAGATCCAGCAGTTGCAAATGTGTGATGAACCTGAAAAGGGAAACAAAATGTTAAAGGTTCATTTGAACCTGAAAAGGGAAACAAAATGTTAAAGGTTCATTTGAACCTGAAACGGGCTGAACCAACTAATTAGCAAAAGATAAGCTTTTCAGATTTACATATATAAGTAATAACGAAAGTATCTTACGGGATGAAAATTAAGAGAATTGACTGAGTATATATCATTTCCTTCTCTGTGACATTTAAAAGTGAAGTTTTTACTTTGCTGTTGTTCATCAAGATGATGTACACCAACTCTCCCTTCGATTGACCCAACCTAAGGAGCACAATTAATCATCACATAAAGATACATTTTAAGGACAGAGCATTTTTAAAAACAAACATAATAAGCCAATATAGAAGTAGGAGCATACCAAGAAACCTTGCTGATCCGGAAAGGCAGCAACACACCTAGTTTGGTACTTTAGGGGGGAGGGGATTCTCTTAAACTCAGCCTGTTGTGATCCACATGGAGTCAGCATCACAAATTAAAAATTCTCCAACTTTTTGGCATTTAAAGAAAATAGAAGATGCAATCTCATATGCCCACATGTACGAAAAAAATACCATTTATTTTGTCCTATTTCAACTTCCAGAAATTTTCCATCTACATTCAAGGCATTGTCACTCAAGGTTCTACAGACAACAGATACACGCCATTGTCATCGGAACAGAGACTAAAATAGTTCTCATAAACATAATTGAACTAACCAAAAGGGTTGGGTTCCTGTGAAAGGGAAGTTATGGTTAGAAGCATAAGAAGAGATTTCCACCCTTGGATCAATCCTAATTGAATGTCAACACTAATGTGGTGCGCTAAGATGCACAGGATCGATCCCCTTCTAAAGCGCAATTCACGGGTGGGTATGAGATTAAGGGTTCACATCTCTCTTCTTACGCTTCTCATCATAACTTCCCTTCTCACACAATCCTTCGCCTTAACCAAAAACCTATCTATGGATTAATATTGTGTTACAATAATAGATTACTAAGCAGTTAAAGGGCCTTTGGCCCAACGGTACCTTGTAACCCAACATTCTTAAGAGGTCAAGGGTTAAAGCCTCGCCAAAGGCGAGAAGTTAATTTGCTGTATATAAATATTATATACTTCTTCCAAAAAAACAGATTGCTAAGCACTTTGTAAACCATCACAGATGATTTATAGACACTTGCATCCTATGTCAACAATGCGGAACTAATGGCATTATTATACCTTCAAGGCAGATTGCAGGAGTATCCCCATTTAGTTCCACAACTACAATATCTCGACAGTGCTAGGAGCCTAGGACAACTTGATGCTGAGTCAGCATGGCTGTACCTTATCAGATGTTTGTGCTATAAGCCTAATGAGGCCATAGGGACCTAAAGTACGCATACACGGCCTTGTTTCCCAAAAAGGGAAGAGCAGCTAGAAATTTTCTAATAGAAACCTTGCATAGATCCAGTGGGAAGCTAAATGAGGTCAGTGCTATGAAATTCCTCAAGCCAATTCGTAACACCCACCAGTTTTTGTCATCTACTGCTCGACAGGATAAAAAACAGCAGGTGTCTATCAATCTAACTTGTAATATGTTCAAGACCACTTTTCATCATCCAACCACGGTGATAATCACCTAGAAAACGAACAGTGGACTTTAAAGGCACACATGGCCTTGCAAGTTACAACTATAAATGCAAGAACAACTTCAGACCGTTAGTTACACACAAAATCAAGATTAATCCCATGTAAATCTCAATTAAAGGACTTAAGTGTTATGAACATCCTCGAGCCCATGCATAACACCTAACCAGCTGTCTCCTCTACCACTTGACAGGAGAAAAACAGCATTCATAATATATGCATGATTTCACCCTTGCCATCCATCCATAACAAGGACCCGCAGTTACTACTCTGAGGGGGTGCTTGATTCATTTTAAGTTATGGGAATGGGAATGCGTATTCCCATTACATTGTTTTGCACTGTTAATGCTTGGATGATATGAGGAATGGTGGAGAAAAAGCAAATCAAAATCACTAAATCCAAATGTATCTTGCAAAAAAACCTCCTGTCGAAGTTTAGTTATCATCGCCTAATTAACCACATGATCTACTTGGCCACCATTCTGGTATAAGTTCTGCTGTATGGCACTAAGATCGGGAGTCTAAGTAGAGTAGAGCTATGGCGGAAGCTTTGGCACTGCACTGCCGGGTATGACCTGGCTACTGGCCTTGCTTCTTTTTGCTGTATTTGTCTTCACCCCCTCCCTTTATTTCTTGTTCCGCCGCTATCTACCTATCTAATTGATTTGAAGGCCAATTGACGAAGAACGAATTTAAGTAGCAAGAAGATGTGGGATATTCGATGAAGCTAGCCTCGAATTCCAGAAAAAGATACTTCCATCGTCTGGGATCAGAGATGAGACCCATGTTCTGAAAGCAATAATGTCGCCACAAAACATCCCCACCATGAAAGGAAGGGAGGGCAGAGCCGCAGAGGTCCAAATGGTGATATTCGGAGCACTGGACGAGGGATGGAGGGGGATGAGGGAGGGATGATGGTATGCAGATGGGGGAGGTGTGAAGGCAAAGTGGAGAATAAGTTACTATACCCCCAATTTAGTGAGGAATGTTTCACTACCCCATGTGGCCATGTCCATTAAAGATTGATTCCATAATATTAAACAAGCACTATTAATGATCCATTCCCATTCCCATTCCCAACCCCTAATGGCTAATACCCCCAACCAAGAACCCCTTGGAATCCCAACAGGCATTCTATTTCCCTTCTTCACTAGGGGAAAAGCCTCCATATAATATAATTATGAGACTGCATAACATCAATTTGATGCAACTCTGGCATCCCTTTAACACCCACCGGGTAGGGAGAGGCTTAAAATCATTAATATCATACACAAGTTGCATGGAAAAATAAAGAGAATGCATGCCACCATGAGCCATCAGATGAATCAACTTTATTCATGAAACATGATTCACTGTACAGTTTTAGCACATAGGTCAAGTCATGGTTTTAAAAAGCGCGTCAGGCGTACGCCTCGAGGCACGCCTTGAGGTGAGGCGGCCCAAAATCGCACCTGAGGCGGCGCCTCTCAGTCCCCAGACAAGGCGTATGCCTCGATTGTCTGAGGCGGTAACCGAGGCGGTGAGGTGTGAGGCAGTGAAGAGGCGTGCCTCAATACAGAGGCTAAATTATTCAAAAAAAATGACTGAAACCTTCGCTATTTCTTTTTTGAAAACCTTGTTCTTCTCTAGTTTTCCTAAGCCCTATCTGCTACTGGTTTGTGTCCTTTGTGAGTTCCAGTTTTTCTCCCATTTTCTTTGCATTTTCTTCTGTTCTCTTCGGTTCACAGGAGTATTATGTATATGTGTATGCTGGATACACTTCTTTTATATTTAGCCTCTGCTACATGTAATGGTCACACTTCTACTCCCACTTTGTTGATATTTAATAATATTTTTTTCTTTGAGTTGTGAGCGTATTAATACATACATACATATGTTGAGAATAGATCAATATTTTTTTTTCTTTGTTACTATATCTATATTTCATGATTGAAGTGTATGTAGATTCTTTTGGTAATTTAGTATTATATATATATATATATATATATATATATATATGTTGTGTCTAGTACTCAAGTGTGAAGTGTGTGCGTGTGTATATATATTGCATATATTTTCTAAGTAGAAGCAGTGGAATGCAGATTAGTATAAATATATTTTATCTAATATATATTTCCGCCTCGGGCTTATGCCTCGGTCCGCCTCGAGGCTTACGCCTCTCCTCGTTGAAGGAAAACGCCTCGAGGCACAATTCCTCTTTTTAAAACCTTGGGTCAAGTAGCCGCTAGAGATAATGGACAACTATTAGAAACAGGATTTCTGTCATTCAAGCTCAATACAAACTAAAGAGCTTCCAAAGGGAAGTACATTACAACCGGGGCCAACTCTTATTTTATTAAATTCACTATATCCAACCAAAATTGACCGTGGAAAACTAATGCTTACCTTGTAATGAAGAGAGTTCTCTAGGATCATGCAAGAGAAAGAAGACCACAATTTCACCTCTCAATGTCTATTGACTCGCTTTTGCTTATATATGGGTTCAAAATTAGAGATATCTTCCTTCCTCTCACCTATAAATTTCATTCTTATAATCCATGCACCATCTTTCATAGACTAACACCTCTACATCCAAATTTTAGTAGACAGTTTAACATCCTAATGCCGGTTGCAGTTGTGAAAGAGGAATTCAAAATTAGAGATATCTTCCTTCCTCTCACCTATAAATTTCATTCCCAGAATCCATGCACCGTATTTCATAGACCAACACCTCTACATCCAAATTTTAGTTGACAGAGTTTAACATCCTATTGCTGGTTTCAGTTGTGAAAGAGGAATTTGTTCCACTTCACATCAAACATGTAGAACCATATGAATAGAGAAAGAAGTAGTACAATGCTTCCATGTTTATCAACAAAAAACCAACGAAGGCTTGGAAGCGCATTAGAAGGCAATACGCATGCATGTATGGCCGATGCTCTCAACAAAATCAGAAGACATGGTCATCTCAAAGGTTAAAATAAAGCCCATATTCATAAGAACATGAAATCATCTCAAATTTGTAACAGACCTTGTTCTGATGATATAGAACAGTACCTGAGGATTCTGCAAGTTGAATACTATAAGGTTTCTATCTGCAGTGCCAACAACCATCAGGGGATGTCTCACTGTAAGGGCATAGCAGCGCTCAGGAAGTTGCTGAGTGTGAACTGGATTTGATTGTCTCAAGTCCCAGTATCTAGAAGGCAGCATGATGTAAAAATCAAGTTGGAGCATAAAAGAAAGGGATATGGGTTTAGTATGTTTAAATACTTGGATGACAATAAAATTTAACCCAATGATATAAAATTCAAGGCCAAAACAGCAAATATTTTAACTAGAAGTAGCAGAGTAGTAAAATTGGATATTCGTCAAGACTATACTATAGAAGAAGATTACAGCAAACTTAAGATAGTCCTGTGCTGAAATTTTTTACCAACTTCAATCCACAAAAATCATAAAAGAAGCTTCTTTGAGGGTAGGTACTAAGTAGATGCTAACTCAAGGGTAAACTCAAACATTCTATACATGAAGGATAGTGTGGCAAAAGTAAAAATGGAAAATGACATGTTGAATATTAAAGCATAAGTCACAAACCATAAAGGTATCAATAGATTCATTAATTCGCAAGGTGAGGCACATGGGAAAATTATAAGATCCACCCAAGTCGAAGAAGCAACAAAGAACATTTCCAGCTCTCAGCAACCCCCTACAACATAGGGACAGCTGCAAATTGAAGACAAGTAATCTAAGATTTCACACATATATTGATTACTGAAATCAACCATCACGAATAAAGCAATCATTCTAAATTCTAATCCCAAGGGCAGTGGGGGGGAGAGAGAGAGAGAAGAACAAAGAGACAGCAGCAGTTACAAGTCTGATGGAGGATAAATGATCTTTTCCCTTAAATGACCTCTTGCATAAATCAATGAATTAGCATGAAAGACATCTTGACATCAATTTTGATTGTTCATCCAAAGGCACATGTGTATCTATAATTACAAACTTTTGTACAGAGCCTCTTTTCCATAGGGGTTTCATTAATGTATGTACACCCTTCTTCCTAGGGAAAGCTTGACACTTACCAAATATTTAGATATAAATAAAGCCATGAACTCATGAAAACTATTCACCACTCCGATAGAAAAGCCTTACAAAAAATTCCAGATAATTCACACCTTAAAGTCTTATCCCAGCTTCCCGATACCAAAAGGTTCATCTCCGGAATCCAAGCAACTTCCTTTACAGGAGCATCATGCATGGCCACAGTTACTGGTTGGCCACCAGAAAGTAACGGCCACATCTTCACTTGTTTGTCACATCCTCCAGAGAAGACTGTTGTTCCGTCATCCTTCCAAGCTGAACATAAAACCTACAAGTAAGAGACGAAGACGGTAAGGGACAGAACAATAATCAAAATATAATACAAAACATCAGAAATTCATCATCCAAGTAGTGCATATAGTTGGCCTTACCGGTTGGTCATGTGCTATTGATGCCTTTCCCACAGAACCAACAGAAGTTCCACTTTTTGTTATCTCCCAACATCTCACCTGCATTTATTTCATGGTATAAAGGTAAATCAGACCAAAATAATAGATCACTAATGATCCTAACCATATTCACTTAGATGTAGTAATGCACCAATCTAGTAGTTTACAAACAGAAGACCAACTCTTCCTCCACATTGAAATCTAGCCTAAGCTTCTAGCATATATGTTCCCTAAAAAACATAAAATGTCCTAAACAAACCAGATAGCACAAAATTGAAAAACAAACGTAGGACCTTATAAATATCTAAGATAAAAATTATTTGAAGTGATGCATGCAAAAGAAATATCAAGCAAAAATTACTAAATAGAAATTCATAAACCCAAAATCGAATTGCTTACATCACACGAACCTGGTTATCCCATGAAGTAGCAACAAGGTAATTCGCCTTGGGACTGAAAGAAAGGCTTGATACAGCATCTGTAGGAGGTGATACAACCTATATAGAACAGATAGTTACAATAGAAACACTTCAAATTCAAACCAGACATAACGTAAACAAGAAACCCTTAATAAGAAACCATAATTTGCATTAAATAAGGAAAACTCAAAGCAACAATCACGAAATAATGAGTTCTTGAATTGAAGTGAATGAAAACTAACATATAAAGAAACTGGGATCATCAGAGTTCCGCTATACCTCAGTTGACTTGTTTGGATTCGTATTGGCAGCAGAACCAATGCCAAAAGCAGACATTGATGCTGAATTTGAAGTCCTGTAACCCTAAATTGTTGGAAAACGGTAGCTTCGCACGGGTGAATTATGAAGAATAGTGTGGGTTTGAAAAGGAGAGAAGAGAGATGTGTGCAGATGCAAATAACATTTATGGAGTCGGGTCGGGTTGCATAGCTATTGAGCCAAACCAAGCAATTGGGCTACATCCAGAAACAAAATAAATTCAATTTTTAATTTAAAAACTATATATTTAAATCGATATTGTTTTAATTTTGATAAAAGAAAAAAACCAATCAGACTAAAATGAGGGTTACTTTGCAAAAGAATACAAATTCAATGAACCACAAGGGTGGTGGGGGAAATAAAAATCCTCTTGTGACCACTGAGATTCAGATGCGGTGATTTCGGACTACTCATAAAGTAGGTAGTCGTCCTGGGATTATTCAGTTCGCATAGCGGGTCGGATATTCAGGTTAATAAAAAAAATTATTGATTAATCCACTATTGCATTTTACATTTGTATATGATTTATGTCTCCTTTTACTTTATGATACAATTTCATTCCGTTGTGAGTAGCTAAAATCTTTGACTTGGGTGTGAGCCAAGGGTGAGATAACAAATCAAATGAAGGTGGACATGTGTATACCTGTATCGGTTACCACTTAGTGTTGTAAAGATACACGTGTATACTTGTATCGGTTACCACTTAGTGTTGTAAAGATACAATAATTGGCATATCAGCTATTCTGAAATTTGGTCTGATACTTTGATCAGAAGTGAAGCTAGAGTGAAATTTATAAGTTGAGTAACTTTTTCTGTAGGAAGATTTTTATAATTTGTTGGTTTTATACTATAAATTAGTAAGCAATGAGACGTGTAAAAGTTGACAATTGGGTATATGTATAGTTCAGTTTATGGCAAAATAAACAAAATGTAACAGACTTTAGCTTAAGTTTTGTTTAGTATGACAATGATTTTTTTCCCTTAAGTCAAAAAATTCATAAAAATATAATTAAAATTACAAAAACAAACTAAAAACTACGAAAAACAAATCAAGAAATTAACGTTTTTTTACAATCCGATCAGTCATGTCCAATCGTACTGCATGGCTAGCGTCATTTGAACCTTCATGTTCTAATATATCATTTTTCAGATTATGAAAAATCTCATAACATCTTTTGTAGCATGTATAATAGTTTATGTCATTTCACTAAAATGTAACTTCGTAAAACTGAAAAACATATATTCATGATCAGTTACTGGTTAAACTAAAGCATTTTGGAGCACTGGAGATGATCTAGCTTGACAAAAGCTCAACGTTTTTGTGTTCATACCCTCAAGTATTGCCAAACGCCTCATCAGTGCCATCATGATTCCAACCTCATCGTTGTCATTGGAGACGACAGACGAGGACCACCCCTCTTGGAGGGAGGTCATGGAATCCAAAATCATCATCTAACTATATATCTAGACAATGTGAATTATTGCACCCGGATAAGCAGGAGCGATGCTTGTATTAATGGTCGTCTATAGTCTTCGTTGATACAACATAGTGCACCCCCTGACCTTCCACGAAATGCATGACCAACTTGGCATAGGGATGAAGTAATCGAACTTTTCAGTGAGGGAATGACCAATTTGGTTTGAAGTCCATACAACTAAAGATGAAAAGGGAACTAGATTCTATTTCTCATTGGTCCCAAACTTTTAATACAAGATCTCAAGCATTCTCGAATCAATCATTCGTTTCATACCTGTTATACATATTTAGCCTTACTAAACAAATTGTATGTAGATAAAAATTTATAAACATATATATATATATATATATATCTAATAATTCACACACACACATATATAGAGAGAGAGACTTGGAACCATGTGAGACCAGTCTGTGAAGGTTCGATATTTTTTTGCACTTTCACAATGTTTTGCTGTAAAGATTTGGTGTTATTTGTGGTTTTATGGTCTCACAAAAACAGAGTGGTCTTAGGAGAACTCAACCCCCCTCTCTCTCTCTCTCTCTCTCTATATATATATATAGGGGCCTATTCAAGGGAGAATTGAGTTGTTTGTGGTAACTGTAAGAACCAATATTAACCACAAATCAATAGATAAATTAAGAAATTTATAAATTTGGTAATTTTAAATTAAAATCTTAATGTAAGGATATTTTTGGTATTTTAAAACTCTCCTCTCTTCTCTCTCCGGCCACCGTCCTCCGGCCATCGTCCGCCGGCCACCGTCCTCCGGTGATACCACTATGATACCATTGTGATACCTAAAAATATTGACTATGTTAAACAAAAGATACACTGTGATACCTAATCATATATA